CGAATTAGATCGACTAAAATCAAAATGGGTAGATGCAAAAGATTGCCCAGCACCATCGGAAATATCTACTGCAATGGAAGTCGAATCAATGGTTGGCTTATTCTTAGTGTTCGCAGTGATCTGTCTCTTATCGGTGTTACTATCTATTTGGAAAAAACGAATTATCGTATGGAACTACATATCTCGAAATAGGAAGGAACCAACAATTCAACTTAAAATCTGAACATCATGTTTCTTGACGTTGTTTTTGCTTTAAGCTCGCTTTTGTCGTTGTATTGCAAATAATCTGTTAGGTTAAAACGTTCGCTATTATATATATACTAACGGGCGTACCCGGTGGGCAATAAGAAATATCTATGTCGAACGTCTCACATATTGAAAATCTGTAGCAAATAGAAAATTCAATATACTTCAAGTTTGTACGCTAGTGGTGTTAATTTTTCTCGTTGTGCATCGCACAAAACGATAATTTCAGTTATAGTTCTTCATGCAAAAGAGTTACCCAAGCTGATTTCTGCCTAAGAACTTGTTCAAATTTCCTCTCTCTCTCTAGTATTCATTCTACACTCCAGCTATTCATTCATCGACTTTTTTCTCACTCTCACGTCATCTCATACCTTATATTCTTCGCTTTCACCCACCCTTAACATTTATCCTAATCGTTCTAAATCCTGTAACGCTATTGGTGAGTTTCATAGATTTCCTATACCAGCCACAGGAGTCTCCTGCACAGGTAGAGTATGTGGATTGTTGTCTATGAGTGCTCAGACGGTCTTCGCTACCAATTTTCTCCATTTTTTAAGTACTGTAATCCTATTGGTCAGATGCATATATCGCCCGTAGCAAGCGTAGGATTGAGTTTTTCCCGGAAAAAAGTGCACGTCGACCTTTACCTGGACGTCAGGAAGTATCGTGGAAAGTTTAGTGGCGATAGCTATTACAGGGACTGAATGCATAGCGAACAGACAACAAACTTTCTTCTTTATATATAAAAAAATATATATATTAAACATCCAAAAAGGGAGTCAGAAAATCTTGTCAAGATGATTCTGTCGACAGACATCGTCGTCTCAGATATTGATAAAGCTTGATAAATCCGGCTGTTATCCATAAAGAGATAATAATCAAACCGCCAAAAAGTTCGATTACTAGTAGTGTTGTATCCATAAGATTTCCGTTACCATAATATGAATAACTACAAGTAGACACGTGACATTGATTAAAATAGTTCTCATAGGATACATTAGTGAGATATTCTTCAACAAAAAGTTTTTCTAGCAGAAATTTTACTGTTGAATTGTAATTGAACTGACTTTGATAAAACGATGCGTTCAACGCTTGAAACTCTTCATTGGAATCAACATATTGCTGATCGTACAAAAATCCGATTGTCGATTGAAGGAGTCCGTCTAGAGGCAGACAACCGAGAGTAATATTTCCTATCGATTGAGTGCATGTCGATGACAGACCGCAGTCACATTGATTGTACTGAAGAGAAAACGTGTGATAATTCCAATACCGACTGTTGAATTTAATTGGCTCGTATTTCCAATTGGTTGAATACATATTCAACAACGTATTCTTTGCGGTCATATGTCGAATAAAATCGAGAGTATCTATGAACGATTGAGCAGTACTTTGACCGAACTGCTCGACTAGTTGCTGAATTTGTTCATTCAATGCATCCGAAGACATCAATCGTGTATTGACATAACTGCTTGTAATAAACTGTGAAAGTGTATCATTAACTGTTCGCTCAGATAGTTGACAGAATGCAGATAGTAACTGGTTTTGGGCAAGAACAAAACTTTCGTTAGTTCTTTTATATACGTACATAATCCAGTCGTCCGAAACGAGCTCACTAGAACATAATGGATGGAAACGTGGTTGAATCGTAATGAAACTTCGATAATCAATTGATATTTTTGAACAGGAACATTCTAATGTATCGGAGTACTTTTGTAATAGATCTTCATGTAACAGACGCGAGGGCTGGTTTATAAGAGTTGTCTTGGTTTGCACGGGAAGGTATGAAATAAGGTAAACAATCATCGTGATACTCAATAGGAATATAAAATGCAATCGATTTGTTCGTGTTTGATCATCATGAACATCGAAAATACATTTGAAAAATTGAAAGATTGAATTGAACGAATTGATTTTCATTATATCTTCGATAAAGGTGATCAAAATCGAAATGATGAGTTTCAGGCATCGCGATAATCCACCAAAGACACCGATAACCACCGAAAGCACGACGATCGCACTACGATAGCTTGTGTATTCGTACGTACAAATCGGGGAACAGGAATTAAAATATGCTGGAAATGAGACGGTTACATTCCACGAATTGATCATCAGGCGGTTGACAATCGATCCAACTTGTTCGGTTTTTTCCTGATCTGTTAGATCCAACGCTGTGAAATTTTTCGGTGGAGTATAATCAAGTAAAACTGTCGATAGAGAGTCAACTATTTGATCTACGTAAGTTTGATTGGTCAAACCAATTAGTTCTGATTGGAAAAGCGCTGCGACAGGAAAACAACCGACAAGAAGATTTGGGTATTCTAGGTGTCTACCAAAATTATCGAACACGCTGCTACGCGCTGACGGATATTCTATTGACATGGAACATAATCCAGATAATTCACAGGAACAATTGGAATAATTCAGAGGTTGATAAAACATTTCTTTTGTCGTTAAATTTAATCGAAAATCAACATTCTGTAAGTAGCTAGCAAGTCGATTTCCTTGAGTGGTTTGTTGGATAAGTTCAATCAAACGTTGGTATTGATTTTGTGTTGTTAGTTTCCATTGTTCAACTAGAGATGAGAAATGTTCTTGAAAGGTGCTTCCATCAACAACTTCCGACGTAACATAACGGTTTTCAAGAAAAACACCTCGAGCATCTTCGACAGTTTGTGCGGCGTTCGTACAAAATATATTAAGAATACTAAATTGTGTGACGAAATTTTTTTGATATCTCAAGCCAGATATGGTCATGTAAGATGTAAATAGCGCTAGAAAGTTAAGCCAATCGTCGGAAACAAAATCACTCGAACATATTGGATGATATGTTGGTGTAATTGAGATGAACTTTCCAAAAGATGTGGATAATTGCGTGCAAGAACAAGTAGCATCGTCATTGTATTTTGTTTTTAACTGTAAATATACCGATTCGGTAGGATGAGGAACTGTTTTTTGGTAGATATCTTTCGTCGAGAGAAAGTAAATGACCACAACTGTAAATGATATTCCGAGAAGCAAGACAAAGATGCGTGTAATTCGACGTTCATGATGAATATAACGATCATCATTTGTCCTCGTTTCGAAGAAGTTTAGTTCAGATAAAATATGACTCAGCCGAGATTTGTATTCAATGATTTTATAACGGACTGAAACGAGTGAATGTGTGAGGTGAGAATTTTAATAAGAAATTCAATTCAACTTACGACTGGTACGATGTGCAGATTGAATTGCTAATCGCCGATTACGAATGTAGCGAACAGTAGCTGGAACAAGTATCCCTAACGTTATGGTTAATCCACCAAGTAAGCCAATAATTTTCGTAAGAATGTAACCGAAACTGCGTCGTTGGACCATGATATAGGTGCATGACAAAGGTATGCATTGATTGAAATATTGTTTATAGGACACGTTGTATGTCAGTTGCTCTAGCATTAGACGATTGACGATGGATTGTACTGTTGAATTCAATTGAAACTGACTGGATTCTGGTATGGGCATAGCTGTAAAATTCTCTTGAGTATCAAAGTACGAAACAGTTGTATTAAGACATGTTTGATTGTAAAAACATTCGAGTGTGGATTGGAGAAGTGAATGCATTGCTGTGCAACTGGAAACTAAACCAGAAATGTTCCAAATTGACACATCAATGTATTCAGGGTAGCTTGAGTTGGCTACAGCGACAGGATAAATTCCCATTTGTTCAGTACAGGAATAAGTCCTTGTGCAATAGCAATAAGAACCATTTGCTTCTAAAAAAGCTCGTTCCAAAATTGACAATTCGGTGCTCTCAGCGTAGATTTGATCATAATAGTAAAGACTTAATGTTGAATCCAGTGCAGGTATCAATTGATTTGCAAACATCATTTCACCAAATAAGTTCAGTTCAGATTGAAATAGAAACGAAAGAGTTAATTGAAATTCCAGAATGTAGGCTTCGATCATAGACTGAAGTAAATTATCATAGAGTACTGATGGACTAATAAATTGACTAGTATAGAGAGAATCTAACCCAGTTTGAAATCTTTTCTCTGATAGACGGCAGAGACTGGCAAGAATTTGAAAAAGTGAATTGCCTATTGATCGAATATCAGATGAATAAAGATCAGTGGCGTTAGAGGCGGAAAAAAGCATTTGAATCCATCGATCGGATACGAAATCGCTTGAACAAATCGGATGAAATGTTCCATTAACTGTTACGAATGTTCCATAGGGAAACGATAATCGAGAGCAAGGACATTCAGCATCATGAGGTAGAGTACGCACTTGTTCTTCCGTTGGATAAGCTATCATCAGACTGTTTGTCTCAGGAGTTAACCAAAGGCCAATGATAATCATCGTGAGAGTGACTAGAAATGTTATTATATATATTCGTGTAGCAATTATATTTGATCGCTGTTGATATTCGTTATCATCAGGATTTTCAAATATGCTAAGCTGACGTAAATAGTTAAACACCATTGTCTGGCAAACAAGATAGTTAATTAAACAACAAGTATTTCATCTGTTTTATCAAACACAGCTCTTTGTGTCGATTTAGAATGTCTGATTAGAAACAGCGAAACATTAAGAAAAGTAATCTGGGAGATTAAAAAGAAGACTTGTCAGCAGTGTTTATCATTTGCATGTTTTCAGTCGAAAACAAATTAATCTGTGTATCACCGGTGTGTTTATCGTTTATTCAGAAATGAGAAAAATTAATATACAAAAAAGCCACCCAGTTCTTTTTTCTTTTCTGTTAAAAGAGCTTTGTTTTATTTTTTAGCACCAGTTATACGACGAGGTGGGGATCGATCATGTCGAGTGCCCGTTGTTAGCTGAGCATTCGTGTCGTACGGATTACGTGCAGGGCGAATACCGCGGGAAAGACGTTGCTATAGAAATTCACAGATATTTGATACGGTTGCAATAAAAAAAAGGAATGATTTACTCGTTCTTGATAACGGCGTTCATAATAGTCAAGTTCCGATTCACCAGGACGACGCAACTGGGATTGTGCTTCCGCGCCTTTTAATAGCAAAAGAAAATCAATCAGATTATGAACGATTTTATGTGGGGGAAAAGCGCGTTTCATACTATTAGGATCGAGAGATGCATGAGCACGGAGAATTGGATGATCCATGGCTGTGATGGGTTGGTTGAGAAAATCATCATCCGGTCGACCTACAAAACAAAACATATGAATTGCAAAATAGAACAGATACATTCTTTTTCTCTCTGACCTCGACCGCTTGGATCAAGTCTTAGATAGCCTTCGGCTAATGAACTGAAGCCTGTCAACCCGCCCATAGCTTTATAGGGTGTAGCATAACCAGTTGGATGACCGCGTCTTTCTCTTTCTTCTTTCGTTTCCACTAATGTTATATGTCTATTAGCTGATTCACCACATGTACATGTAAATGGCGCACTGAATCCCGTACAATTACAATCTATGAACAAATGCATCGATGATATATGTTTCACGATCTGGAATTTATACTTTTTTGACATTTGTAAGGTGGTCGTGTGCCGTGTGTATCAAGTGAATGTTTACAACGACAGTTGGGATCACTTGTGCCAGATGCATTTGCAACGTATTCGAATGATACACAACGACAACCTGGTTGACGACATGAAATTAGAATAGGTCGTTCTCTTGGAATTTCGGGAAAATCAGTTTTGTGTTCTGTAAATCTTGTTTAAATGAGTAAGAGAAGAAAAAACTATATTCGATAGATCTTATTTCAATTTACTTGTGTCGACAAAGACACTTATGTTGAGGACCTATAAGAATACAATCCATTCCTTGTGGATTGACCCATGCAACGAACAATCGATTGTGTAAACGCTTAAAATATTCAAAATAGAACGTGACTTAATTGACGTCCAAGTGAATCATTTCAAAACTGAGAGGTAAAACAATGCCTCTTATCAAATATTGATTGATCATTTTTCTTTTTGTGTAATTCAATATTTTCAATTCAAAATCAAACAAATCAATGCTTACCATCGGTAAAACTCGTTTTTTATACTCTTCATATTCTTCGGGTGTAAACAATTTGCCTCCATCATCATCACCCACGATTCTGCAATAAAATAAATCGTAGACTTGTTAGTTCAACGCAGAGATTCTTACGCTCGATATTCAAAATAGGCATCGACATGTGCAGCAGCATTCGGAGGTAAACTGATATACTCACCCGGTGCACGTCCACGACCACTTCCTGCCATATTCGTTTTGTTCTATACGTCTGACGACTTATCGAAATGGTGATATATAGGAATGGAAGTCGTCATTCATTTTCGCTACTTGGCAACTTAGTTATAGATGTCGCAAACAAATACATGAGAATAGTTCAAAGTAACATTCATTTCTTCTACTTATTCAAGGAATACTTTCGTTTACGGTTCGTCTCAATTATCATTATTATAGCCCACATTAAATAATCTAATGTACGTCTTTGCATAAAAACAAACTCATCAATTGTTGACTAATACATGACTAATTTACAGAACGCTACGACTGAAAAAGTCGAATGCATGTAGTTTAAACGAACTTTTTTTCTCTTTTATTTATCGAAATGATAATCTTTTCCATTCTGCATGAAAATATCGTTCTTTTTCTACCAACGTGGGTTGTGATATAAGTAAACATAATTACGTCTGTCATGTCGAAGTTCACATCGTCGACCACGATAGTTTTGTCCACAAGAACAGTATGCTTGACCATATGCATTCACACATCGACCACCATTGTAACACCTACAATTAACAACACGAGAAAATCGATTCATTATTACTTTGTTGATTAATCTTACCAGTTGGAATCACAGGCTGGACGGCATGAATACGAACAATTGTTACCGTAGGTACCTGGCGGACAAACGCAAACTGCTTGAAGAGTTAATTGATTGACAACACAAGTTCCACCATTTAAGCATGGATTGTTTGTTAAGCAGGGATTGTTTGGTAATGGATTTACTGGACAGTCAGGATTGGCAATAATATTATTTGGACATAGACAAATATAAAGAGCTGGATTTTGATTTGTTGGTATACATGTCGCACCAGCCGGACAAACAGCATTAGCACATTGATTTGGGATGACAACGGGCGATTGTGTTGTTGTGATAACAACTCCACCGGTACATTGTGCTGCTGTTGGCTGTAATGTCATGTCTGGACAAAGACAGGAGAAAGCCGTACCTGTTTGAACACATGGATATGCTCCACACGTTGCTTGAGCTGCTGCCGTACATTGGTTTTGTCCACGAACTGTGGCTAGCAATGTAACAAGAAGAACAATCGCACTTTTAAGAAACAACATGATCGAACGTGTTCGATAGTTTCTCGTTGAGATAAATACTTCCAAATGGAAGTCAACGTCTGATTTTATATTGGCAATGGGATTAACAAATGTTTCTACCGAATCATGATATTGAAATGCTGCTATTTGATATGGGTATGATTGTGTCATATTAATTAGAAAACGGCACCGGCAGCAAGCTTATCATGAAGGCCAATGTGCATTGAAAATCTCTCAAATCAATATAGAACCAATCGTACACCAACGTCTTAGATAAAACCTGCATTCATATTAGTTATGAATGTACTATTATCATCTAACAGGGGTCGTATACATAGAACATCAGATATAGTCCTTTCCATATTTCGACATTCATAGATTGAATTTCATCAATACATTAAACATTAATGCAAGTGTGATCGTGCTATTTACATATGAAATAGAACACATTTCTTTTTGTCAGTGTAAAACTGATGATCATTCATCAATGATTGAATGCACTGTCACGAATCGTTACAAAAAAAAAACAACAGTATGCCTCGATTATCATAATCGCTATGCAATCTATAATATTTCGCGATAGTCGTCATGTATGAAGTATTTGTAAATAATATCACGCACGAAATTTTATCTGCGCAATTGGATAATAAACAATTAAAGGTTAAATATACAATTAAACGCGAAAGTAAACCGGTTATTTTTTCTCCACTTATGCCTACGTATGAAGAAAAATGTTTGTAACTTAATCTTGTTTTTCCTCTATTTGATAAGCTAAGAATAGAACGAAAAATTTCTATTGTTGGTCAGACTTTCTCGTGTGATCAGTCAGTCATGATTTACCTCGAAAAAATCTCTTTCTCCTAGTGTCAAATTGAAACATGGTTTTTTCATTGTCAATAAGATAATTGTTCCTGTTCATTGGTAGATTTGTTTTCAGAAAGAACCTGTCACTGTCGAGTATTATTAATAATCTCGACAGTTTTGTTGTTGCAATGCCAAAGAAAAACAAACTTGTTTGCAAAAGAACAAAATACTCATATTTGAAATCGAGGTGGCAAATCAATTTACGCTCTTTCAAAGTATTCAATTCATAACGATATTCTATACAAACAGACTAATAATATGTCGTCTAGGTGTGACCGACAATCTCAAGATTTATTACTAGTCCGAACGGTAACAATTCCTTCCTTTTTTTTTCTTTTATGTTTTCATTGCATTCTCTATAAACATGAGAAAAGGCAACAACATCAGCGAAATACTGAAGTACCCTCGTCTATCTCGTTTAATAAACTAAAATAATTATTCTTTCTGTTGATATTTTTCACCTACGCAATACACCTATTACTTCGTCTTATCATATAAACATGTGATATGGCTTGTTTGATAATTATACTCCTATAAGTAGGTCAGTATGATTCTTGATAAAGAAATAAATAAACATGTCTGTTTGAAGAGAATTGATAAGAAAGAAGACTTCGGCATTTGTTAGTCCTATATTTCTTTCTTTTATTTGCCTTTTTTCTTAAATGTTAACTTAAACTAAATCATGATAATAATAATAATAATAATCCCGTTTACTCATCTGTCTGGTTACAACAAGTTGTTTTCTCTTATTCAATACATCTCGTATGTTGTACATCAAATAACTCGAATAGTCTACGTACAAAAAAAAAGAGAATGAAGACGTGAAGAAGAAGAAAATTGAGAGAAAGAAAAAGACAAAATGACGACAAATCACACATAATGCCGCACATGGCCTTTGGTCATCATTACGCAAAAAGAACTTCTCTGTCCGCTTGAATTTCATCCTGGACATGAGAAGAGAAGAAACATCAATACAAGTTTATAACAAAAGAAGATCAAAAGACCGGTATAGGTGAAAACAAACAAGAAGAAAAAGAGAGGAGTAGATATTCACAAGTTATATGAATGTGTGATGCTTCGCAAGAATGAATCCAAATACATAAAGATACATATATATAGATATATACACAATGAAAATATCATATCATCGCTGCCTAACTACATTTTGATGCTTCGAGCAAGAACAAGAAAATGGCACAAAAATGGCAACGAACAGAGAGAGAAAGAGCGCACGCACGCAAGGAAAAAAAACGTTTTGAAATATATACAATAGATATGGAACAAGACTATAACAGATATATATAATGTCGGAGTGCGCACTACAGAATGAATGAGAGACACATCGAAGAAATAATTGGAATCTGAAACTTAACGTCTCAAATTGAACAATAATTCACCTCCTTATTCAAGTGTACAACCCAGCCTTTCAACTGCGTAAAACGCATCACGACTACCCTGATGTTCACAAATGAAGAAAAAGAGAAAGAAAGAGAGGGAGAGGGAGAGAAAAAAAACCATGTAGTAGAATAACAATACTGAAAGTCAGATCGAAATAATGCGTAGAACGGAAAAGAAAAGTAGGCGAAGACGAAGAAGAAAGAAAAAAAAATCATCACTGGGTAAGATAAATAACCTATCCTACTCAAGTTGTGTATGGATGTAAGAAAGAGAGCTCTTCTAACTACAGATTATATCAAAGGAAAAGTTTATAAAAGTAAAACAAAGAAACAAAATGACATATCAACAAAGATCTTCCCCTATGTTTTTTGTCTAGCCCTACCAAACCCGTTCAGGATGTATAACACGATGTTCACTATTATTAGTTGCCGTACGACGACAATCGGCTGATGAACTCCGAACTTGTTGAGGTGGTATGGGATGCATAACAAGTGATGTTACTGGACCGTAGACAAAATTTGCTGGTGGAGTACTATGATTAGAGTACATAAATGCCGAGGGTGCATACCAACGAAGAGGATAAATAACTGGTTGTTGATTGTAGAAAAGAAGATCAGTATCTGTATGAGCTCGATGATGTATAGGTAGATTAACAGGTGGTGATGGAAGCACAAGAACAGGTAATGCAGCGGGGGGAGCAGGAATCAATGGTGATGGTGTTAGAGTTAACATATCCACTAGTGCTGGTTGTTGCGGCGAACTATCTGTAGGAGCCAAGTAGAAATGTGGTGTTGACGATGGTTTTGGCAGCGGCGGCAGTTGCGATTGTGGTTGTGACTGTGTTGGTAAAGGTGGCGCTTGTACCTTCGTAGACTTTGTTGGACAATGAATGACTGTTTTAAAACTGCATGCCAAATAATCATCTTCGTCACCCGATGTCATTGTTGCACTAAATGAAAAGAAACGCTCATAGGTTCGTGTACACTCGACGTCATCTTGTTAACTTACCTTGATAATCTTCGTCTCAAACTATCGAAATTTTGATTATCATCTTGCTCATTATTTGATTGATTTTTATTTTGTTGTTTTTTCTTTTTTCTCATTCGTCGTTTCAAAATTCGTGTAACACTAGAATCGGATTCATTAAAATCATCATCGTCGTCTGCATAGTCATCGTCGTCATCATTGCTATTTTTCGTTGATAGCGGATGAATATGATCATGTGAGGTCTTTCGACTTCGTTGAGGTGTACTATCAATACTGCGTGACCGATGATGCATCATTCGTTCACGTTCATCAATCATTTTTGTTATACTCAAAGCATCCTTTGTAAATGATTCTAAACGGCGAATACTTCCATGACTGTAAGAAACAAAAAACGAAGGGAATGATTTCATATGTACAACGTATCTCATATTTACCGTTGTAAAAGTTCTGGCGTATTCAATAGTCGTTCGTTTAAGTCATGACTGTTTTTCACCCAAGGATGTTGAAGAACTTCAGCGGCTGTTAAACGTAGGGACGCATCACGAACCAATAAGCGCTTGATTAGATCTTTTGCACCATCCGATATGTATTGCCAATCTTTATCAGGAAAATCAAATTCTCCATCTTGTATACGTTCAAATAATAGACTTTGACATTGTTCACATTCTTCACCTTTCGTCCAACCACATGTATGTCCACATGTGCCATAAAATGGAGGATAGCCAGATAACATGATATAGATAATAACACCAAGGGACCATAAATCACAACGTTTATCATACATTTGTGATGAACCTTCTAAGCTTCTCCATGCATCTACAACTTCAGGAGCCATGAATTCGACTGATCCAACCTAGAAAAACAGCATTATATATAGTTGCTCAACAGTTCTTCCACGGCGAAGAAGAACAATTCGTACCGGTGTTGATAATTCTGGTGTCGTTATTGGTGTCGTTTTATTACTATTAAGACGAATAGCTGAGCCCAAATCAAAATCACATAATTTTATTGGTACCAAACTATCGGCACGTTCGACTAGGATATTTTCTGGTTTCAAATCCCTACAGACAACATACTCATCGATAAGAAAGAACAACTTCAAACTATCTATGAACACGTACCGATGAGACATGCCCTTCGAATGAAGAAAATCAAGACCAGTAGCAATATCTCGTACGATTAAACTAGCTTCACGTTCATTTAAACGGCCACGCTTCATTATATGATTGAGTAATGGTCCTAGAAGAAGACGATAAGAATATATTTCCATTTGCATCAAGATAAGAGAAACCTACCGCCTTCCATTTTTTGAAAGACAAGATAAAAATAATCATCATCCTCGAGAAAATCAATAATGCTTAAGATGTTTTCACAACCGCGACAATGATAATAGATATCAATTTCTTTAAATACACGCGTTCGATTTGGATGACGAGCCTTGCTGATTATCTAAATGAAAAAAATCGATTTACTCTAACACATTTATTATTATTTTTTTATTCGACTTGTCTATTCTTAGCATCCTTTTATGAGGGTTGTCAACATTATTTTTCTTTTCTCTCCAAAGAATAATTTTTCTTTTTCTTTCTCTTCCATGTCACAATAGATTTATGTCCGGGGTCGCTCGTTCTGTAAACTCAAATGACTTCTTTCTTTGCTTAACAAAGAAAAAAGATATGGTCGACAAAAATGGATTCAATAACATACCTTAACGGCATATTCTTGTTTCGTTACTCGATCGCGACACGTTTTAACCACTCTAATCACGAGAAAAAGAAAGTTTGATTGAACAGAAACCGTTAGGATAGAATGATGACTTACCCGTGTGCACCGGTTCCAAGTAATTCTTCGGTTAACTTATACTTATCGCTGAACGATATGTCTGAATATGAATTTGCTGCGCGGCGTTTCTTCTTCTTTTG